CGGAACTATTGTTGCCAGAACTGGAACCAACTAGAGTGTTAACCACTCGGAATTGTAATTGCCAGATTTGTTATCACCGAAACTGGATCCACCTGGAACTGTAAGTGTCAGTGAAGTAAAATAAGGAAATAGTCACCAGCAGTGAATCAAAGTAACGATTAAGGCAACCACTCGACACTCTGCCTCCTATACTAAAATCCCTTCAAAAAAGAACAAAAGATAAAAATAAGAAAAAAGAAAAAAAAAAGAGAAAAAATGAAAGAGAGTGGAGGATTTGACCGAGTTAATCAAGAAGAAGAGACAAGAGTGAGGGAAATGGAGAAGGGAAGAAGAAAACGGAGAAAAAAGGGATAGAGTGGAAAGAAAAGGAATGACTAAAATGGAAAGAAGAGAATAACCCGAGGACAATCCCAAAATGGAGACTCTCTCAGAGAAGAGAGAGAGAACAGGCTGGTGTTATATATATATATATAACAGGCTGGTGTTATATATATATATAACACCAGGCTGGTGTTATATATATATATATATATATAACTAAAAAAACCAAAGAATTTAAACCATTGATTCAGTTTGATTTTGATTCGGAAAATCTAAAAAACTGAAGGACCGGTTCAGTTTCAAATGTAGCCAATCTGAAATTGTGGAAGATCCCTATCTAAAAGATGGTATAATTGGCTATGTTATATCACTGCCCGTGGGAAAAACTTTAGCTTTTGGGGGCCAACAGCCTGTGCTGTTGAGAGAATTTCTGGGAATGTCACGTTACTATGAGAATGGATAAATTAATAATTACATATTAATTTATTTTTACTAAAAACCAAAGCATAGGCATAAATAGATGAACTGCCCAGAATGTGCCTAGCCCAGAAACTGTCTCAACAGCCTATGCTGTTGGGCCCCAACAGCCAAAGTTAACCCCTACCCGTGGGCAAATTTACCGTTTAGTACGACTTTTTAAGATGAACCCCTTTGTTAGGCCCATCATCTAAATTCTCCAATCACTTTGTCTTTGTTCTGACTTCTGAGATCCCCATGAAGCAAATATGCACATCGAGCAAAAGATAGGAGTTGACAATTTCTTGTTGTTACTTCTTAACCCGTCCATCAAGTATTCAATCCGCCCTTAACCAGAAGAACCAAGCTTCTTCAGGTGTGGATTGTCATTAATGCTCAGTTTAGAAAGAATTCAAATACAAATATATACAGTGCAAATACATATACAAAATACAAGATTTTGTACTCTAATTTATATTTGTACTACTTCCAAACTGAGTCTAATGAACCTGCCCAAAGTTTTGAGTGGGATGTCATTTTCATTAACTCACTTAGTTTTTCACGCTTGGATTTTACACTCATTTACTCCCAACCTTACCAGTATTCCTCCTGATGCAGGCCATCTGATTCTGATATGTAAAAAGCTTTTGTTCTATCATATTTTGGTACTTCGACCCAGGTCCTCGAAAAAAAATGCAGAGAACTTTTTTGATACATAAAAAAAAATATGCAGAGAATAAATGTCAATTGTATCTGTATCTGTAGACTTTAATCTCAAAGTTGTAGAAACCATAATGAAAGAATAAAATAAAATAAAACATAGAAACGCATGAAAATATAAAGACTTTATCTAATTCAGCTTTTTACTAACTTCCATAGAAGAAACCATACTTTTTGTCTGCATTTGCTTCTTTTGTTAAATTGAATTAAAATTTTCAGTTGAAACATTTTAACTTTTACTTCCACCTCTTTTAATTTTTTATATTTATTACATTTTTTTATAAAAATTGCAAGTAAAACTAAGGGTCTGTTTGGTTTATAGTTGGAATTGAAATCGGAATGATCTATTATCATAGCCTGTTTGGTTCAAATAGGAATGAAAATAAGAATCAGAATTGATAGGAATGAGATTTCATTTCCAAGGGAGGGGTGGGAATTCAGGGAATGGACATTCTCTCAAATGATAGTATGCCATTTCAGCAGGAATGGGAATGAGATTTCAATTTGGCTCAACCAAACAGATGGAATCAGAATAGCCCATTCTGATTCCGATTTCAGAGCCCTATTCCTGCAAACCAAACGAGGCCTAAGTTTAAATAATTGCTTAAAAAAATTATACGCTTAACTAATATGCCAAAAATCTTAAGACTAATGGAACTTGTCAAATCAAGCACTTTAACATTTAGGACTGTAACAACACCTAATTTGTTTATACAATATTCTAGAATTAAATTCTCACATTCCTACATAACCCACAAAATCTCTTAGCCTAGTGGATAGAGTTATTTAAATAGTCCCTAACAACCATATCTTAACCCCATATTTGGTTTGATATCAAATAAGAGAGAAACATAGTGCGAGAGATCCTTACAAAATTTTGTGAAAGATCTTAAAAACTTTCCCTTGAGTTTCTGTTTCTCTTACTTTCTATCAAACCAAACATAGCCTAAATAGAAATTAATGAAACACCAAACACATACTTCCTTTTGCATTTCATTTTTTCAATCTGGTTAATATATTTCTTGTTGTATGTATTTATGTATTTTTGTTTCCTAAAGCAAGTGCCAATTGACTTGTTGGTAAGGTCTTTGGTTGGATGTATAGGAGGCTTTGGATTGAACCCCGCCTGCACCAGGGTGGGGGGATGGGCTACCCGCATTTGGTAGCCCCATGGAGCCACATAAAAAAATAAAAAATAAAAAAGCTGATGGTCTCTGCATTGACCAAATTCACCCCTTTTTGCCATACACCCAAATACATACCTTGGCCAGATTTTCAGCATCAAAATATAGTTTCTTCCCTCGTATTTCCTACCTTGCCAACGCCTTTCTTAGTTATGTCGTGTGATTTTATTTTTAGATGTGGAGAAATTGCATTCTTTCTTTTTTGTCTAGGCTCACCAATATTGTATAGTATAACTCTTTTTGTTTTTTTGGGAAAAATAAGCAAAATTTATTAAAGAAAAAAAGGATTTACACACGAGCAACCCGGTGGCCCTGAGCGTCCTCTCAAACAATTTAGGAGAGCTAAGTTGGGAAGAACAAAGGGGGCAATTCAGCCTCATATACAATAGCAAAAAATTTCGAAAGAAAATCAGCAACACCCTATTACACTCCCTGTAAGTATGAACAAAAGATATAGAATCAAACCTGAGAGAGATAAATCTAATTTGCTCAATCAAATCCCAGGCTTTCCAAGGAGTAGGGCATGCTCCATTCAAAAAATCGTTGAGAGTCAGGTTGTACTACAATTCTACTGAGGTTTCTTTCCTTGGCATTCTTCAACCCTTTGAGAATGGCTTGTAGCTCATGAGTTAGAACTCCCACAGGTGGTACCATAGCCGCGTATGCTCTATAAGGAATACCTTTGTCATCCCTGATGATGAAGCCTATACCTCCTCTATTCTTAGAAAAGGACCCATCCGTGTTTAAGCAGGCAATGCCAGCTGGAAGAGGGATCCGACGGTGAAAGGATGGCCTAGGCTAAGAGGGAAAGAAGATTAAATTCCATTCCCCATACAGATAGCTAGTTTGATGGGAATCTTGGAGCTTCCACTTGGAAGAACAAATCTTAGCTGAGACATTAGAAACAATTTGTGACACAAACAAGTTCCAATGAAGAGGTTTATTCAAAAAGCAACGACAGTTCCTCTCAGACTAGATGTGATAAACCGTAGCAGCCAAGCCGAGAGACAGTAAGCATTGTAACATATGGCCACTCCCAGAGCTCCGCTGGAGGAGCCACTCGATCTCATTGTTCGAAGAACCTTGCATAGATCAGTCCAAATTGCATTTTGTTAGAATAGCTTGCCAGGTTCTGCTAGAGACCTCACAGGAAACGAACAAATGGTTGTGAGATTCTTTTTCTTGATTACAAAGCACATAAGTAGGAGAAAGGGATGAGAGGCCATACCTACGCAGCCCGTCCTTGGTGGACAGAGCCTCTCTCATCGCCACCCACAATAAAAATGCATGCCGTGGAATTCTTTCCGTATCCCAGATAAGAGTAACCCAATTCTTTCGAATATCAGTTGGGCGAATACACTCCCAAGTTGACCTCACAGAAAAACATCCTGTTTGATCGGAGTCCATATCACCCTGTCAGTCGAAGCTTGCTGGGAGATCCACACAACAACGATTTCTCTCCACCAACTTGAATCCAAAGGGGGAGGAGAACTAGGAGGTACCCAGCGGCTGTTAGCTATGATACTAGAGACTTTCACCAGTTTAGAAGAAGCCACAAAGGGCCTAACAAGGGGATCAAGAGTCCCACAGAACCCCATGAGGGTGCAACGGGTCAAGCCAGAAAAAAGTCTTTCTACCATCAACAATAACATGGCGGACCGATGGCTTTGCAAGGTCTCGAGTCTTCAATAGACTTTTGACAGCCCAAGAGCTACGTTTAGGAATTGGAAGGGTCCAAATAGAATTTCTCAACAAGTATCAAGATGCAAACCAGCTTACCCACAAGGATAAGGAACTATTAGTAGCAATAGTCCATATATGTTTAAGGAGAAGGGCTAGATTCCAATCCCTTACTCTTCGGAGACCAAGACCACCCTCTGATTTTGGCATACAAGAAGCTTCCCATCGAACATTATGGGTTCTAGCACCGCTTGACCCCGTCCAAAGGAAATCCGAGGAGAGCTTCTCTAAAAGCTTCGTTACATTGATTGGCAAAATGGCAATGGAGCACCGAAAAAGAATTTTGCCATTGATCACAGTTCGGAGAAGCTCCAACCGACCAGCATAGGATAGAGTCTCACTCTTCCACGCCTTCGTCATATTGTCCACAGCCTTGATGAGGGGGAGGCAATCATTGTGGGTTAATCTGGTGTAAATAAGGGGGAATCCAAGGTACCTTACCGGGAGAGAACCCATTGTCATACCAAGAATGCCTAAAGTAGTTGATTGATCAACCTCATTGATAGCAGAGAAGAAAACCTGAGACTTGGCATTATTTACCTCAAGGCCTGACCAGGCCGAGAACTGATCTAGAAGATACTAGAGGTTGAAGGCAAAGATAGGGTCAACAACAAGGAATATAAAGAGGTCATCAGCAAAAGCGAGATGAGTAATCTTAGGGGACTTGCATCTTGGATGGAGATAGAGGAGGCCTTCTGATGCAGCTCCATCTAAATGATCAGATAAAACCTGAAGAACTAATAGAAAAAAGTACGGAGAGAAAGGGTCCCCTTGATACAGGCCACGCGAAGCTTTAAAGAATCCCTCTTGAGAGCCATTCGCCATCATTGAGAAACTAGCCGTGGACACACAAGTGTATATCCACTCCATAACATGGTCAAGGAAATCAGCACTCTCCAAGACTCTTCTGAGAAAGACACAGTCAACGGAGTCATAGGCCTTCCGTAGGTCAATCTTCACTGCCATACGTGGTTTCCCATCATTTAAGTGGTAGCCATGCAAGATTTCATGAGCCAGCAATATGTTGTGGATAATGGATCAACCCTGAATGAAAGCAGATTGGTTCCACAAGATAAGATTTGTAATAGCATTTTGAAGCAGGTTAGCCACAATTTTAGCTATAAAACGATATAACATATCGATTACAAACAAAGATAGGCCGAAAGTCCTTGAACGTCATCAGGGGGTCAGACTTTGGAACTAAAGAGATCAGGGTAGAGTTCACTTCCCTTAGGATCTGAGCAGTCCAAAAGAAATCCAAAATATCCTCGATTACATATTCTCCCACCACATACCAAGCTTTGTGGAAAGAATGTTGTATTAAACCCATCTGGATCCGGACTTTTGTCCCCATCCGAAGCCATAACCACTGCAAAAACCTCCTCCCTGGATACTGGAGCTCCTAGAGCCCGACACTTATCCGCAGAGAGGCAAAACCAGGTTCTTAGAAACCCCGAGAAGGACTACTGGGGATTGGGTTTCTTTAGCATATTTTCGAAGTAGGATACCATTGTTGCTCTTATAGCAAGTTCACTAGAACATAGGATGGCTGAACCTTCAAGCTGAATTGCAGAAATGCACTTTTGGTGCCTTCTAACACATACTGATCAATAGAAAAAGGAAGAGTTCGAGTTTCCTTTGGCCAACCGTTGAACCCTTGATTGTTTCTGGAGAAGGGATTCTGCAAACTTTACAGCTCTCATGAGGGTCTCTCTAGCCTCCCGCTGCTCGCGATTCGAGGGATCAGCATGAAAAGAACACTGGAGCTCTTCCAAAGAACTCCTCGCTTGGGTTGACTGAGAAGAGGCCTGTCCAAATTCTTGCTTACTTCAGTCTTTCAAAGTAGATTTCAACATCTTAAGCTTAGAAACCACAACGAAAATTTTGGTGCCCCTAACAGGGGTATTCCAGACATCAGTAACTACCTTGATAAAGTTTTAATGGTTACTCCAAAAATGGTAGAATTTAAAAGGAGATTTTCAATGGGTTTGGGTAACGTTAAGGTGCACTACTATAGGAGAATGGTCTGAGATCCCGAGTAGGGGAAACATTGCCAGGGATTCACCAAAGTCTCGAATCCAAGCAAAGTTGACTAGGGCTCGGTCGAGCTTTATCTCCATAAGGAGGGAGCCCTCACTACGGTTAGAGCAGGTGAATCTTGGGCCTTGCCATTGGAGGTCCAAGAGACCAGAGGATCTTACACAATTAAAAAAAACCATAACCATATTTTGATGAAGGCCAGAGCCCCCTGTACGATCATCGACATATAAAGCAGAGTTAAAGTCTCCTAACACCAGCCATGGGAGATTTGTGTCACCAGCCTCTGAAACTAGGTCTCGCCAGAGAGGTTCCCTTTCAGAAGCCAGATTCCTACCATAAATAACCAAAACCACAAAATACCCATGGGAAGTTCCACGCAGCTTAACCAAGCAGTGGATAGTTAGAGATGTAATGGGTGTTGAACACCTTTCCTCTTAACATAATTGATGGTATGTAAATCACTTTGGGTTCTTCCTATCTTTTTTTTTTCGTTTTTTGTTTAACAATTTTCAAAGTTAATTAAGTAATTAGGGAATCAATTACACTCTCCTTTCTAGCCTTTTCCATGTATCACTTCTTATATGACTCTTTCTCTCTTTGACTTTATTTCTCAAAATACCAAGCACTAGCTTATTCTTAAAAAAATTGATAACAGTATTTTCACCAGGGGCGGAGCCAAGTATATTGGTGAGGGTTCTTCCCCCAAACCTTTCATGAATTAAAATGTTAAAATGTTAAACTAAAAACTCCATTCTGACCTACTTAATACCAATAACCTACAAGAAAGAACGGATCCATGGGTTGTGAAATATAGGACAGAAGCACATACAATTTATGAGGCATTTATGTTGTTGTATACTTTCAGCAATGATACAAAGGGACAGCCAAGATTTAGTTGGACGGGCGGTGGGTCCATATATTGCACCAGAGAATGCAATAACACCGAATTTGTCAGAAATTTTGTAAGTGCAGTTTAATTATAATGGAGGAAGAGCAAGATGACGGAGGCAACAGTACTAGCTAGCGGTGATAACTGTTCATACTCCTATTTTCTATTTTGGTTGGTGAATGAAAAGCCATTGAAAGTCTGAAATTGCTTATACCCTCTGACTCTCTGAGATATGGTGTGTCCATTACACTAACCCCAATTACGATTCTTGCTGTGACGCAATCCATGTGCGATGGTTTATTGTAGTCTATATTCTATAGACATCAGTTTGGGAATGAAATCGGTTTGAACCGGAGCGATGTGCTATTGCTAGCTAATACTTGGTTTTGGTACCCCTCAAAGCAGACTTTGCTCATTATTCTTCTGTTTTGTCGCTCTTGATTGATAGATTACTGTTTTTCCTTGTAGCCTTCATTGAAAGTACTAGACGAGTATCTATCACTCTCTCCAGTTTCTAAATTTATTTGGCAAATCGGTTGTTTTCACTTTTAGAGTCATTCCTGGTATGTATTTGCGCACGTCTCTTATGTATATGCATGTTTTGTGAGGTTAATTGTGATGCTGACGTGTTAGCTCACTCTAACATGCTTGGAGGAGGGCTACCCCGTCTTGTGTAGTGTCTTTATTGTTTTCGCCCTGTTCTTCCAAATGAATCATTCCTGCCAAAATTCTCTCAGAAGTTAAAACAAACAAGCTTGTATTAAATACTTCATTCGTGATGATAATAAAGTTTGCCGGTGTGAGTATGTGCAAATGTCTGTATAAAAAGACAGAAGGAGATGAATAGAATGTTTTGCCTGGTGATTCAGACATGAAGTCAACCAACTAACTTGGTTGCAGTGGAAACTTGGGAAATGATCCCACTTTTAGTAGGGATTTGGGGTTTAAGTGCTAAAACATTTACATTTTTCGAAAAGATCAAATCTTTGATGATTCCATCATACAGGTTTTTTTCTTCAAGTGCGGAAACCCCAGGACCAGTGACTCATCAAATGGCACTCCCTTTTTTCAAAAGGGAATCAAAGATTGTCCGATTGTGTTTAGGTAATTCACTTATTCGAGTAAATGCACTTATTGAGGTGAGTGTTTTCTGAGTAAATACATTTACTTGTATTCTTTTAAATTGTAAATATGATCTCTTTTAACGATGGATGATGAATCCACGCCTCCTTATTTTTGTCAAAATTTTTGAATGCTGAATGGGGTGGCTTTAAATCTATCGAGAAAAGGTGATTGTACATACAATTTAATAGGAGCCAAAGTTCTCTTATGCCTTTGTGTCCAGAAAAGCTTTTTATGTTTTATATCATTTTTATTTTTAGTGTTTGTTTAATGGGAAATTTTATTTCTATAAATTTTAGCAAAGGGTAAAGATAAAAGCTTATTTTTCTTGGAAGTTGTTTTATCAGCTGATCCCACATTTAACAATAAAATAACATTGGAAAGTTCAATACTCTCTCCCTCCTTTACATGATGTGAAGTAAACTGCAACCACACCCCTTGAATTGGCATGTGTTCAGTTTTATGACTTCAGCATACATTAGCTCCCACAAGTAAACCCATAGCCAAGGACTTGTCCAAGTTTGAATTTGTATACAAGGCTTATTCGGAAAACCTAAAATCACAAAATTTGAAGTCATTTTGTAGACATTTCACATTTGGACCTGTATTTTTCTCAAGGCAAATCATGTCTCTAAAGAAGCTCTATGAATTTATTATCCAACACAACAAATAAAGCAATGATTTAAATTTTTCTATGTAAAGGTATGGCCATTTTTCTTTAGAATTGTTGTAGTATTGACTGTAGAATACCGAAAATGCATTAATTTCAAGTCCATCGAGTACGAAATTACTAAGTTTGATGACTTTTCAATAACAGCTCATGAATCTTGTTATGCGTTATATATTTAATGTATCTTCTTGGCAATTACTCAAGTTTGGGGTTTGTTCCAAACAAGTCTTTAGTCCTACAAGTATGGGAGATCAAAATCTGAGTTGAATTAATACAATTGAGAGAACATTGGGGTTTCTTAAAAAGAAGGGCCTCTTTTTGTATCTTGCTTTTATTTCTTTGGTGGATTCCTTGGAGTGATGACCATTTTTATTTGAATATTCTCTTGCATCTCTCTCTTCAATCCCATTGCAAGAATACGTTTTGTTAGATTCAAAGTGGCTCAAAGCATTTGTCTTTTTCTAACAAGATATTTGTAACTATAAGGCTGTGTTTGGTTTGAAGGAAAAAGTAGGGAAAGGAAAGGAAAGGTAGGGAAACCATTACAGATCTTGTATGGGTTTTTCTACCTTTCCCTTCCTTTCCCTATCTTTTCCTTCAAACCAAACATAGCCTAAATGTATTGGAAGACACCTATTATAGACTAAAGGATGTATAGGAGAAATTGAGAAAGTTGAGGAGAAAAATGCAATGTTTTCAATCCATTGTTGACTCGAACAAACCATTTAAACTATCATTCAACCATGCTTTTAGATCCGGTTTTATTAAAACCCATCTTTTGACAAAAAATAGTTGATTTGATAAAAACATTCCAACTTGAGTGGTTGAACTGTTGATCCATTCGATCGGGTCACTATGTCACACGTTACACACTAAACCTTTTGGAGGCCAAAACTTTGCATTTAATTGTTTGATTGGGATGACTTTTATATTGATTTGGAGTAATTTTCAAAGGTGCTTGCTGAACTATTTTCTTTCAAATCCTAATTTTTAACATTTTTTATGAATAAAAGAAATAAAAACTAAAATAAAAAATATAAATTAAATATAAGATAGTACAGTTATTATATGTAAGATATATGTAGAAGATCCAAACCCAAACCCCATCTCGTAAGTCTTGAGGTCTGGAGCATTATATACAACAAAAATGTGTTTGAAAGCAAACTGGCTATGTTAGGAATAGACGTCTCATGGCTTGATAATTACACTAATCGTAAGTCACGGGGGTAGATCTACAGCAGAAGAAACTTGTGCGGCGTCCGAGCCATGTGCATCTAGGACAAGCCTAACGTGTGATGTAAGGGCCATGTGTGGTCCAATGAATGGCTCCACCAAGGCTAGTGGCACTAGATCATGACTTCGTGACTCATGGCTGGGGCTTTGTGCTAGCTCTGGCTTGTTCAAAGGGGGAAGTCCATGATGTGAGGCGATTGTGGCCCCGATGATGATAGGCAATTATTGGGCTTGAGCACACTCGTGCGCTATGGGCAATGGGGTAGCTCAATCAACTTAAGCATGGGTCTGGTGAGGTATAGGGACATGCTTGGGCTAGACCCGCATGGAAAGCCTCCCCTTGATGTACATTGCGCAATGCCGATCCATGCACTGTTCCCATGAGCGTGTGTGTGCCCATGAGGAACCCTTGTAGCCATGCTAGCCATTAACCAGGGCCACCCCGCAAGGAATGTTGGTCTAGGAGTGCCAAGGTTAGGCAACCAAGGAGGTTGACCATCCCTCCTCAAAGAGTACTTTAATCTTTTGGTGGTCTACCAATAGGAAACATAATTTTTCTAAAAATTCATACTGGCATATTTACAGTATTGCCACTCAATGTAAACCAGCCAAGTGTAGGCAAGACTAAGCTTGTGTCAAACCATGACAGGCTCCCCCACTCAATCCGTTGTCGAGGACGACAACAACTCCTTTGTGAATAGGCATCTGTTTCCTGTGCCATCCATGTGTGCTCCTATTAAGGGACACCTGGTCACCTCAAGTCTCGCCTATGTTGGTGTCCATGTATCGGGACGAAACCATTTCACCATGCTAGCTTACTTGGACTTCACCCGTTGTATTGGGGTTACTCAAACCGTGCAATGGCTATGCCATCAATGTGCGTGTAAGGCCCTCGAAGAAATTGTGTGTGTGATGCTTTGCGAAGGTCTGTCCTGTGTTCTCTTTACCTCAAGGCTCGACCACCTTCTTGGTAGCTTTTTGGTGGTGCTACTGAACATGATGTGGTAGGTCTTCACCTGCTGTTGGCATAGTGTGTTGGGAAACCGTTCAACATGATGGCCTGTAGACTAGGGGTGAGCAAAAAAAACTAAAAATCGGTTAACCAAACCGGTCGGTTTGGTTCCGGTTCGATGTTTTTAAAAAATTGGCAGTTAACCGAATTGACCAGTATACAAGTTTTTCTATATATTTATGTATAATATATATATATATATATATTATAAATTAATAAATATGCATTATATAAATATATATATATATATATATGTATATATATTTTATAATATACAATACATTATTTATTATTTAAAATATAATATTTTATATATATTTATAATTTTTATTATATATTTTTATAATAAATATTATAAAGTCAAAAAAACTAAAAAACCGATGAACTGAACCGGTCAACCGGTTAACTGACTGGTTTCAGTTTGTTCCGGTTAGTGGTTTTTGGAAAACCGTTACTACTGGTTCGGTTCACAAAAAAGGCTCACAGCGTGAGCACCCCTATTGCAGACTTCACTTCACTGTGTTTGGGTTACTCAAACCTAGCCATGGCTTATGCGCTTTTGGCCCTTGAAACTACACTTCACCTCGTTGGTTCAGACTACCTCTTTGCTTCGAGGGGGCCCCAATGTGTACTGCCTCAAGGATCCGACCGCAATGTGCACGAGTGTGGCAGCTTTTACCCATGATGTTGTTGAACATGCACCCGCTTATGTGATGTATGGTTGCTATTGCGAATGTTCTACCTATGTATGCTGAGCATGTCCTCTGATGTTTTCCCAGTGCTTGGTCGCCATGCTCCAACGGCCAGTGTACCCACATTCATAACATTCCAATATTTTGGCTTCAACTAAGGACCCTTTCTAGTGCAAAGCTGCCACTTCAGTGATATTCCTTGACCAACTGTTGACACCAACCAATTTCAGATTGTCATCCCTGCCTTAGTAGTGCCTTTGACAAGCTACAGAACAATAGTTCATCCGTCATTAAACCAAGATGTAGGCACACCACCGATACCTAACCAAAATGAATAGCAACTAATGTATGTGAGGAAGCATGGCACTCCCCCACTCAAACCACCACAATATACCTTCCATGAGATGGCCCATGCGTCTGTCCCCACACGAGCTCTGCTTTAGGGTAATTGGAATGGGGACACGATGTATGGCCTCTTGCTAGGTTTGATGTGAATACTTGCTTGAACCTAGGTAGGAGTGCCAAGGGACCACACTCCACTATGGTAGTAGTTTGGCTAGTTGGCTCTGATACCAACTGTCACAGGGGTAGATCTGTAATGGAAGAAACTTGTGCGACATTCGAGCCATGTGCAGCCAGGACAAGCCTGATGTGTGATCTAAGGGACTCATGCGGCTCGATGAATGTCTCTACCAAGGCGCCTCTTATGTGCCAAAGGGGAAAGGCCATGATGTGAGGCGACTGTGGTGCTGATGATGCGAGGCGCATGTTGTACCGATGATGATATGCAACTGTTGGATCTGAGCACACCCGTGCACTGTGGGCAACGAGGTATCTCGATTAGTTTAGGCATGGGGTTGGTTACGTATAGGGACATGCTTGGGCCAGACCCGCATGGAAAGCCTCCCCTTGATGTGTGTTATGCAGTGCCGGTCTATGCAGTGTCCCCATGAGCGTGTGTATGTCCATGAGGAACCCTGGTAGCCACGCTAGCCATTAACCAGGGCCACCCTACAAGGGATGATGGTCTAGGAATGCTAGGGTTAGGCACCCAAGGAGGTCGACCACCCGTCCTCAAAGAGTATGTTAAACTTTGGGTGGTCTACCAATAGGAAACATCATTTTTCTGAAAATTCATATTAGCATATTTATAGTATTGCCACTCAACATAAGCTCACAAAGCATAGGCAAGGCTAAGCCTGTATCATACCATGACAGTAAGGTACTTATATGTCTCTATCATTGTACATGTTTGTTGTTGGTATGGACGCTTGTTGCTAAGACATGGCTTCACTTTGAACTTTGTAGCCACTCAAGAGACCAATTCCTTCTCGTAAAGAGCCCGATAGCTCAGTCGACCAATCTTCGTTTCCCCTCCGAAATGATATATTCCCCTGCCCTATATGCGGAGAGATTTTCCCCAAAAAACAACTTCTCGAACAACACCAATCTATCAAACAGGCCATTTCAGAGCTCATGGATGGCGATTCAGGGAAAGATATCTTTCAAATCATCTTTCAAAATACTATCGATGTTCGAAGAGCACAGGGAGTACGTGAAACTGAAAGCTGCACGAAACGAGGTTAGAAAACGGGATGAAAGGTGCATTGCAGATGGTAACGAACTGTTGAGATTCCACTATTCGACTTTTGTTTGTGATTTGGGAATCAACGGGAATTCTAGTCTCTGCACTCAGCAGTACTGCAGCATCTGTGGGATCATAAGGTCGGGGTTCTCTGCCAAGATGAACGGCATATTGACGCTATCGAGCATCTGGAGAGCACACGTAGCGCTGCCCGATGAGATCGAAGAGGAATTTGCCTTCATGAATGTGAAGCGTGCCATACTGGTGTGCCGAGTTGTAGCGGGTCACATCGGAATCATCGGATGTGATGAAGATGTGGAAAAGGCAACTATGAAAAAAAGGGCAAAGGATTTTAATAGGTTGGGGTGACCCAACCCAGCCCATTCAAGGGTGGGAGGCCCAACCCACGAGCCCCAAAGTAGGGAACGGGATCCGCTACAGCAGGGGTTACCCTACCCCCTTCGTACGGATTTTAATAGGTTAGTTCATGATGTGGGGTGATCCAATCCAATCCATTCGAGGCTGGGAGGCCCAACCCACGAGTCCCAAAGTAGGGAACGGGATCCGCTACAGCAGGGGTTACCCTACCTCTGTACAGAATCAACCACGGTGCTATCACATGATCTTGCCAGAACCGCTGATAGCCCCCGTATGGTTCCCATCTCAGGCATTCATCTTTTACAATCAGAATCATATAACTATTGCCTTGATTGCTCTAGCCTTCAGGACTCTCTCTCTCTCTCTCTCCCTCTCGCTTCTTGTATCCTGTACTAACTTGACCGTTGGAGACTCCACCTCGGGTTCTCACCTGGGGTCCTCTGATGAGCTCCTGTCTTCCAGCAGAGATCGGATATCTACCTCCGGCTTTTTCCGTACTCGATGACCACTCCACCTCGGCTTACACACCTCGACCTCGGCAATATCTCCTCTGAGCCCTCAAAGCCTTTGACCTGCCTCTAGAGCTCAGCGAAGAGAAAGCACCCACAATTCAATATTGTACGAAGAACGAGAAATACCCAAAACCTTGTAACCAATGAACAGTTCCAAGCCATACTTGACCGCCTGGAATATTTGACATAGTGAGTTGAGCAAAACCTACCCCAAGCAGGAGGTCACCCCTAATGTGACCGCCTCGTTGGGGAGTCAACGCAGCTAGGCCAGCACGGGTCCACCACCCAGTCGGCCCCCTGCATTGGCCATGCACAACGGGCCGAGCCCTCAGAATCTGGGAGCAGTCGGAGGACAGCCACCAACCCTTCGCCGGAGAGGAGGGAACTTTAGACCTCCTAGCAGAAGAGAGGAAGAACCAGGACAGTCGGAGGACAGCCACCAACCCTTCGAGCAACATCACCGACGTCGGAGGGCCAACCCGAGGGACGAAGGCGGGCGCCGAGACTGCCTCAGCGCTCACTCCAGAGTCAAGGGCCGGCGGCGAGCCTCTTCCCCTTACGTCACAGACCTCCGAAACATCCTGAATGACCATTGTGCTAGGCGCGAGGCGCGCTGCCTCAGCTTTGAGCACTCTGGCATTTGTGCCGAGCACCCTTGCGCCTACGAAGGTCAGGGAGGTGCCCAGGTCAGGCCCGAACCCAAGTACACCGAGCTCGGTGCAGTCAAGGCCGAACTCAAGCAGGTCAAGGAGGGCCAAACCGACACTTCGGCCGGCCAAAGCTCTTGCCAAGGCAAAATGGATGCTTTCTCCCTAGATATCAATGCAGAGCCTCTGCCCTCGAACTTCAAGGCCCCCACCTTGGGGATGTACGATGGGAACTCTGACCCTGATGACCACCTGGAGAACTTTAGGGCACTCATGATCCTATATGGGTACTCCAACGCCTTGACATGCCGAACTTTCCAGGCAACCTTCAAGGGAGCCGCTCGGCGATGGTTTTCAAGCCTCCCACCTCGATCCGTCAATTCATGGGAACAATTTTCCATCATGTTCCTCGCACGCTTTATTAGCAGCCAGTGTCCTCAGACGAGCGTTGTCTCGCTGATGATTGTCAAGCATAAGCAAGGAGAAAGCATGCGGTCATACATTGATAGCTTCAAGAAAGAAGAATTGGAGGTCCGTGACCTCGACCCCTTGGTCTCCATGCATGGCGCTATCAACGGACTCCTACCCGGCTCGACCCTCAAATGCTCCATGGCCAAAGGCCAACCGAAGACGAATCTAGAGTTCTTGGAAAGGACCTAGAAATACATTGCAGTTGAGGAGGCCTCGGCCATGGACGCCTAGGCGAGGGGCACGAAGCACCGGAAGGGGCCCCTGAGAAGAAGAGGAAGAACGGAGACCATAACCATAATAGCAATAGAAAGCCTTTGTCCTCAGCCTCGACCTACAACCAATACACACCACTCAACTCCACCCGCACACAGATTCTGGTGTAGATCGGGCGGGAGAAATTTATGAAGTGGCTTGAGAAGTTGAAGAAGAACCCCCATTGGGGGACTCCTAAGAAGTACTACAAGTTTCACCGAGGCGCAAGCCACGTGAGGACAGTTATGATCTCAAGAACGAGATAGAATCCCTCATTCGTTAGGGGCACCTCAAGCAGTACGTCGGGGCCGAGACTGGCACCTCATCCCCTCAGCAGCACCAGCAAGCAGCAGGCGTCATTGACGTCATAGTGGAAGGACCGGCCTCGGGTGGAGCCTCGGTTTTGGCCCGCAAAGCCTATGCCAAGTAGCTGAACGTCTAGGGGCTGGCCCCCAAGAAGTTGAAACGAGAAGCTCTCTCCTTCATGGATGAGGACTTGAATGTGGTAGAAATCACCCATGATGATGCAGTGGTGGTTTCGGCTATCATTGCAAACTTCGTAGTCAAGAGGATCCTTGTAGACAATAGCTCCTCTGCCGACATCCTCTTCTACGAAGCCTTTGAGAAGATGATGATAGCTCCGGAGTGCCTTCAGCCAGTAGATGCCCCACTTGTCGGCTTCTCCGGCAACATCGTCAAGCCAGAGGGCAAGATCTCCCTACCAATCACGGTAGGGACGGAGCCCCAACAGGTGTCGAGGATGATAGAATTCTTGGTCGTAAAGATCTGCTCACCCTACAATTAAAGTAATCACAGATGCAAGAACAATTCGGCCATGATTGTTCTAAAAATTAAAACCCTAATCAAGAATCCCAAGAACAAATCATACTCAATCGGATCTGCCTAAGTTTAATTACAAAACAGGATTAAAGCTCATCATGGTTCGCATAAAAAGGAAGAAAGAAGAAAGATTCAATAGAGAAACCTCAAGAACCCTAATTGAATCTAGGTTACCAAACTACAGAACCAAAGAGGAAGACACTTAAGATCTTTGCGTCAGTCTTCGATCTCCTTGTTGTGATTCTCCTTCAGTTCGCATTCAACAGCCTCCTCCTCTCCCTAGCAGCCTTCTTCTTTAATTTTCTTTTAGGGAAAATGCTGATAAACACAAATCTCCCCCTCCTTGGGAGTCCACGGCCAATCGTCTGACTCAAGCACCCTCACCCCGTAAGACGAGGTAATGAAGTACTACCCGATCAGGGCCTTGACTTGATCCCAGTCCAGAGAACCTCTAAACTCTGGACAAGAAGGGTCGGTCTTGGCCACCGCCTTGGCACCACTCTCAACCCTCCTCCCGGGGACGGGGTCCGAGTCTTGCTCCTCCTCAGCCTGGGGGCCCCTCGGCCTCCCTCAACGTCACAGGGGTGGGGCTCTCATAGGAAGGGTCATGGCCTCAATGGATGCGTTCGGCATGCCAAGAGGCTACCCTAACCCGGAGCACATCCACGTCGCACCGAAGGAGCTCGAAGGCAGAGGGACTTAGGGGGCAAAGGGGAGAAGGGGTTCAAGTAGAGCTCCCTTCCGATATGTTCGGAAGTTCATAACACTCAGGTTTGTAATCCGAGAAAGACATTGTTGATTACGTAGAAAGGAGGTGGAAGGAAAAAGGAACAAAGACGGGAGTGTCGAAAACTGGAAGATCTGGGAGCTGAGTTCACTTGAAGAACAAAGACGCTTGGAGGCAAAATGACAAGAATTCCGCCATCGAAGCCGCTATTTAAAGAAGAGTGAACGGCCCAGATCTCTTGAGATCCAACAACTGATAAGGCACCACCTCCACGGTTCAATCACAGCGCACCGTGTGACAGTCCCCCTCAGAAGACAAAACGGCACGTTGGCAACGGCTCGGATTATCGTAGATCCAATGGACAGGGAGCACCTCCACACCTGCGATCCAACCGCGCCGCACCCCCGAGCGCTCACCCTCGAAAGACGGAACGACCATCAAGACGGACCAGCGAAGTCCACCCAAAGCAACCCGTCGGTTTGAGAGACCCGTTCTCATGGATGAGCTTAACGGTTCGACTAGAGAGCTGTCTCGCCCACAGATCCTAGGGCCCCTTCGCCCCCCCCCCGGCTTCATTTGTCCTTGGCTTAAACAACCTTCGACTCCCTCTGGTCCTTGGCCCGACTCATGAAGATGAACCAAGCAGAGACGCAGGAAAGGACGCCACTGCAGGGAACACCTCGGTTGTCGGGCCCACTGGCACTCACCATTACTACTCCTTTCAATCGAAGTCGAATTCTTTTCCTTGGCCTCGGGAGTGGGGGGCAAATGATGTGGGGTGATCCAACCCATCCCATTCGAGGCTGGGAGGCCCAACCCATGAGTGCTAGAATAGGGAATGGGATCTGCTACAGTAGGGGTTACCCTACACCTTCGTACGGAACCAACCACGGTGCTATCACATGGTCTTGCCAGAACCACTGACAGCCCCGTACGGCTCCCATCTCAGGCGTTCATCTCCACCTACCTCCAAGCAGGTCAAGTATAAATAGGGGTGCCCCCCTCCAGGTAAAGGGGAGTTGTTTCTTTTTTTTTTACAATCGGAATCATATAACTATTGCCTTGATTTCTTTAGCCTAGAGCTAGGCTCCAGGACTCTCTCTCTCTCGTACCCAATACTAACTTGATCGTCAGAGACTCCGCCTCGGGTTCTCACCCGGGGTCCTTTGACGAGCTCCTGTCTTCCAGCAAAGATCGGATATCTACCTCCGGCTTCTACCGTACTCAGAGACCACTCCGCCTCGGCTTACACACCTCGGCCTCGGTAGCATCCCCTCCAAGCCCTCAAAGCCTTTGACCTGCCTACAGAGCTCAGGGATGAAATTACCTTGTTGTCCTGGGCCATTCCAAGAAGCAACAATTCACATTCCGATGTCATCAACATAAATTGCTCAATTAATTGATACCTACTTCACAATTTCGTGTTTATCAGTTTAACAATGAAATAAACTGAAATAAGTCCAAGATGTGTTGAACCGAGATGAACTAAGTTAGTCCAAGATCGGAGCATAAGAAGGCTAGCTTACCCTCCGACATCGGCAAAATGGATTGGGAATGGATAGAGCTTCTTAAGAGACGCCATGAGACGAGAAGCTATGACATCTCCTGAAACTTCTCCAGAGACCATGAAGATCCTTGACTCTCCGTCTTTAGCAGCCATTTCCACTGCAGCTTCGCTACAAACAGATAGCGTTCCTCCCAGAAACCTCTTTAATTTCTTACCCAACTTACTCTTCACTTGTCCAATCGTTTTAATCAACATCTTCAAATCGAGTTTTGTGTCGCTCAGAGATGAAAGTGAAGCGGTTTAACTTCCTCTGCTACCGTGCTCGAGGCAAAAATATTGAAGCAGGATTCTTTAACTGAATATTGAAGAATGTTCTACTGTAGTAGAAAATAAGATGATCATGACGCTTATTTCTCTGCACTACATGGATTATACGGCTGTTGATTTAGAAAAGGGAACCATGGACCATGAGGGCAAACTTCATATACGCTCCAAATTTGGGTAGAATACTTAATCCAAACTAGATAGATTAAAAAAAATCACTTAAATTATCCCTAACTTTTCTTCAATCCGTGGGATGTACTTCCTTGCTTCATTATTGTATACAGTGTCTGTGATTTTCTGGAGCAAATGTGAAGGTTAAGGAAGATGAACAGTATTTTTCTCCTACTTATTATAAGGGTAGTATGGTAATTAAGAAAATATTGTAACGATCTTTTTGGATGGAAGGCTAACGGAAAGAGGTCTTTGTCTCACGGTCATAGTATAGGGGGGTCTTTGTCGCAAAACAAAGTAATGGGGGGTCTTTGTCACAGACCCTATAGTACAAGGGGGGTCTTTGTAATTTACCCTATATATTATTAAAAGGGTAAATTTCTTAAACTACCCTTATGGTTTAGCTAATTGACTAAGTATATCCTTACTGTTTGAAAATTGATTAATGCTATCCTTGTTGTTTTTGACAATTGACTAACTTTGCACTTATCGTTAGCATCCGTTAACTTTCCGTTACATGTGATATAATGTGACTAATAAATTTATCAAAAAATCCAAAAATACCCTCTCTGAATTTCAAAGATGCATTTCCAGCGTGGAGTCACCCTGCTGACTTCACTATCTTCTCCTCCTCATCCCAATCATCATCCTACGTACCCCTGGTTTCAACTCAACCATCCTCTATCTCTTGTCTACATCTATAGTTGGAACAGATTGAGGCAGGCCCATCTTTTTTGTTTCTTTGTCCATTTAGTCATGTTGTTCCTTTTGCTAGTCCGTGCTCTATTGTTATTGGCAACAATAAGTTTCATTATGTCTTTGATTTTATTTGCTTTTTGAATTCCTTTCATGAAAGTGTGGAGAAAAAGCGGTTTTCTGGAGTGGATTGCAGTGGTTTTTTGTAGTCTTTGGGATGTTCATAATGACTTAGTTTTTTATTTTAATGGTCATTGTCACGAATTAGAGATGTAATGGAGTTTGCCAACAGACTTGCAAATGGTAGAATCAGTTGCTCAAAAGCTTTTTAAATGTCTCAAGGGAGTATAATAGGATTATAGATGATCAATGTATTATCATCAAGTGTGATGGTGGTGTTATGAATGGTCAAAAAGGATCATTTGGTTTCTTTGCTAAGAGTGGGTTGAAATTTAGTTGTTGAGTCAGATTGTCTACATGCAGTGAGAAACTAATACTCTTTTTTTCTCAAACTAGGATCTGGTTTATCATATTAAGCGTCCTTTGAATAAATTGAATAAAATATATGTTGTTTATAAGAGCAGAATGGATACTTCAAGAGCTCATGTTATTGCTCGAAATTAAAGATGGTGGTCTAGAAGTGTTTAGATCGAAATTGATCTAGAAACAGATTAATAAAAGGAAATTAAAAACATGTGAATACCACAGAAAGGTTAGAGCTTTTGAGGTCGTAATTGGTGACAGAGGAGGGTCAATTGCAATGGTGGGACCTCCACAATCATCACACAGAGGAAGGCGTTAGCAGTACTTTCGTCCGCCTCTCGGAGCTCGAACTTTAGGTAGTCCTTCATCTCTCTAATCTTCACCTTTGGAAATCGCCTTCCCTCTGCTTGAAGTAGATATGGGAGTTGCAAATCAAGAGCTCATTGGCGTTGGATTATGTATTGCCCAGATCTGGGAGTTGCATATGAATCCCCTTCCCTCTACTCGAAGCAGATCTACAAGTTGCAGATGCCATTTGAGCAACGTTGAGCTAATCACAACGTTGATTAGCTACTAGGGATCGAGCTTGGATGGAAGGGCTAATCACAACGTTGAGCTCAGCTGCTTCCCTCTCCATCACTCTATCTCTTTTATCTCTATGTATTCGTAGTCGAAATCGGATGGTCTAGGCTGGTTTCTTGAGGTTTTAGAGCTGTAATTAGTCAAATATTCTAGTGTTAGTGACATACCAGGTATGGTTTTCGTTAGATCTACTAATTGTAATTCGTCGGACAGAGATGTAGCGAGATGATGGCAAGCGGTGTATTGAAAATAAAGAGCATTGATGCCATTTATTCTTTAAAGGGTGGAGGAGTAAGGCCCACTAACATTTGAGCAGCGGAATAGCCATGAATTAAGAGACCTAAGACCCACGAACTTATCTAAAGGGTAAAATAATATTTTTATCCTTTTGTTAATGGAAAATTAAGAGATATTAAAGATAAAAGAAGTATTAATCAATTATCAAAAACAGTAAAGGTAGCGATAGTCAATTTTCAAACAGGTAAACTTAATCAATTCGCTAAATCACAAGGGTAGTTTAAAAAATTACCGTTTTTAAAAAGGCTAATTTTGATCTGAATCAAATCACTTGTAATTATCGTTGGTTCACAATTCTTAGCAATTCGGTAATAGCTTATAACCAACTTATACACATTTTTTTGTAAAAACAATTTATACACATTTGTCTTATTTGAAAGAAATTCCTTCGTTCATTATCGTTGGAGAACGACGAGTGTACGATTACGTCGCCCATGTTATTCTTTCTGGAATAAACATCTACTCTGATTAAGCTTCAATATTATATCATTTAGGTATATGCCATATAGCCTATCTTTAACAGCCGCTGCGTCATTGTTAAAAAACAAAACTAACACCTATTCCAATATAATTTAATGCCAATCAATGCGATTTTTCTTGGACGCCGAAGTAATAGTAAAGAATTAAACATTTTAGTAATGAAATATATATAGATGGATGAAGTGCATTTTAGGCTGATCTTGTATCTAAAGTCAGTTTAGGAATTTAAAATTCATTTATATATCTAGAACTAAGAACACTTTAATTCATCTTTTAACTTAAAATGCTTATAAATATCAAATTCATTCTACCGTGAATATGCTACCTTGTACAACTTTACCCACAATATAATTTAGTCACCACTCTTTTACCTGAAAAAAAAATAAACTGGCACTAACTACTCCATATCCCAAATTTATGAAGAGAGAGAGAAACTATTGCTCTTCCCACAGAGAAGCATAGTGGGCTGTAGGGACAAAATAGCTGGATCCTTGCATAGCTGAACTGTCTGATCCTCCGGCAAAGTTACCATAACCGTCCGTCCAAGCCCCTCTTCCGGTGATGGGAGCACCAAAATCAACCCTTCACCCTCTACATTCCCTATATGATATGAGACGTGCACAGGCTTCAACTCCTCTAACATTGCAGAGTAAGAAAACAGGTGCTCCATGTTGGCACATGTTAGCTCTGGACCATACATCCTCCAAGCTGGTGCAAACTTGCCGCCCTCCTTCTGCGATTCGATCCAATCTATGGCTGACCAGAAATCCTCTTCCTTTAGGCTCGACATATGGCTTCGTACGAGCCCAGCCACATAAGCTAAACCCCCTTCATCCATCTTCCCCGCCTCCGATGAAACCAAGGAAAAATAGAGAGCATTGCCAAAGTAACCATGGGGGAGTGGGGCGTGCATGAGTTTCCTAATGTCGATACAAATGGAGAGGCTGCGTTTCTGCTCAGGAATGGCCTCTGGAGCTGTCTTGGCGCGTACTGCGGATGTCCAGAAGAGTGCCGCGAGAACATCGAAGGGAGTAGCATCAGGGCATTGGTTTTGGACCTCCGAGAGACATTTTTGAATTGCTGCTTCTGAGAACCGGAAGGTGGCGGTGGACATTTTAACAGGGGAGGGGGGTTCGGCCTTTGATTTGGCTGCATAATACTTGGCAGACTCGGTGTTTGTGTTGGGGCTAGGTCGGCCCCGGAGTCCAGGTGGGTGGAAGAATGGGGAGTGTTTGATGGCATCACGTCGGTAAGTCTCCGTCCACGACTTGAAGAATATGGTAGCACAGGTTGGGTCTGCATGCATGTGCGAACAACTTAGCCCGATTGCCATGCCTTCCCCTTCAAATTCATTCAGCTGCAGAATTTAAAGTCCAATCAATTGTCAATGTCTGATATAGCGGGAAGGGAAGGGACTGTCGTAAATACAGTCGGTCCTAGCAACAATTTTTATAAAATGGGAACTCTCCTAGCAACAAGTGTGTTTTAGAAATTATTTTAATTAGGAACTGATTTAAGAAATTAGAGTGAGTGATTTTGGGTTGGCCTGACCCAAAAGGAACCTGCAGCAAACACCTGAGGCAATGAACAGCCACTTTTGGAAGAGGAATTAAGGACCCATTTCAGCAACTGCAGGTTTTCTTGAAGTAGCGAAGTTAATCAAGCGTTGCGAGTCAGAAAAGTGAGGCGAAAGGGGTATTGCAACTTTGCAGTCTGTCAGCCCAAGTGGTACTCAAGTCAGGAATCAGGATTATCAAGCTTCAAGAATTCTGAGCAGTACACTGCTATTCCCAATGATCAGATTCTGGGCAAAGGGAAACGAGCACCCCACCCCCAACCCAGAGGGAGAGGCCCAGAATAAATAAAGTTTACTCGATATTTTTTTCGGTGACTGAGACAGAAAAAAAATACTCAGTTTTCAGTTTTGACATGATTGTCTGCTTGTGGATTTATTACATACCTATTACCTTTGCCATTCTGCATCATCGGCTTTATCCATGGTTTTAGGCTTTAGATCATAAAAAAGAATTTTCAGACAATTACGGATAGGCTTATTTAAATTCTGCTGTGATTCTATAAATATTCAAAAGTTTAAAAATTCACACTTTATACATCTATAAAATTGACATCAATTCCGAACCGGCAGCTACCCCAAATATACTTTAAGCCTATAAATTCTGACCTAGGCTGAATGGTCATTCTTCCAAGAATTTTCATATTTATTTATCCTTTAGGTCGTAATCAGCTTTATTTGCAAGATTTTGCCCAAAGTTCTAGACTATAAAAAACTACAATATATGACTCTTTACATTTGTAATTAACAATATTGTAAAGATGTACCATCTGATCAACTTAAAATGTAAAATGCTTCTCCCTTTAATTGGAGTTCACATATTAATTGATCCATGCTGTAAGCCTGCAACCGTCCATAAGCTAGGCTTCATTTCAAAGTAGCTAAGCCAAAGCTTGTTTTTAACTTTTCATTTTGTTTTAATTCATCCTAGCAAGAATTGATTGCAGGTATAGGATACAAATTCCACGGTCTCTGCCCATATCGGGGCAACAGAGGAAACTGGGAACGGAATTTCAACAAAACGCCACTAGGAATCTTGGTGTTATAGTTCTATTTTAACAACACGGGAAGAAAATGAAATGTTTCGTACAGAGAGGAATGCTAGCCACACGGGTTGATGAGACCGTATAGGGTGGGTGTATGAGCTTCGTGGAAGCTTCTGTACTCAAAGGCGGGTTTGTCTAACCCGTGTAGCTAGAATTTCCCCTTCGCACTCGCATTCACATAATTAGGGAGCAAAAATAATATATAAATATAATGGGAAAACGTCAAAAACAGGTCGTCAGAACATACAACAAGTGGGGGCAAATACAAACTTATGAGATGGGTTTTACCTGAATACGGAATGGTGACCAGAGGGTTGGATCTTCGGGCATATCCTCCCAGACCGTCAGATCTCTCTCCTCGGACCCCTCTGCAGATTTCAGCCAATCGTCGAGCGTAGTATGGACATTCGACTTCAGGATTCTAACTCCGGCGTCGTTGCACGCCACCACCCAGTTCCCGTCCTCCCCTTTCTGAAACCGCCCCGTGATCGGCGGGTAATAATTCAGGACGTCTGCTAAGGACTCCCTGAGCCGACCGAGATCGTCGGAGTTGGACCATTTGTGGCGGTAGTAGAACACAATGTGAAGGGTGTGAAGGCCCATGGTATGGTCGAGCAGGGACAGTGAAAATGTCTTCCCCGGCCGAGTGGGGGTGTCGGAGACGACCGTCAGTTTTGAACACACCTCCACGATTGTCTTGGCACCCGACATCCTCACCAGAAAAAAGAAAAAAGAAACACAACGTTGCGATTTAGTAGGGAGGAAAATAAGTTGGGCAGAGTTTATTTATAGGGAGGGGGGAAGAGGATAAGATTAAGTGGGGAGACCGGTACTGGTATTAGTTGCAAAGCATTTATAAGAAGAGGGGAAGAAAATAACTTCGCCAAAATTTGGTAGGAATTAAAGCGGGAAACTGGTATTGGTTGCAAAGCATTTATTTCTGTTCTCTGCACCGTGACTGTCTAATTAAGTAATTATCACTCTCCGGTCTCGACTCGGTATTCGTATTTCCATGGAGAGGGATTGACTCAGATTCCCCCAATTCTTTAATGTATTTCTCTGCTTACATTGAATTGTGAATTCATTATGATATGATAGCGGCATTTCTCTCCTACAAATAGACTGTATTTTGGAAGCTATGAGTTGAGAGTAAATTCTGGTCCATATACTTGCTTCAAGGTTACTTATTAATTGCAAGTGAAACCTCACACAAAATAAACCAGAAATTTCAGTCTTTTTTTTATCTGTACTCGTACAAATTTATCCTAGTATAATGAAATTGAAATTCAGATGACTATTTTTTTTTTTTGATAAATTATAAGACCCCCTGTACTGGGTCAGTGACAAATACCCCTAAACTTTTACTTTTACTTTTACTTTGTGAGAAATACCCTCCATTAGAGTTTCATCAATTTAATTTTGAAAAAGATTCTCATTAGCTATTTAAAAAAAAATTAAAATAATGAAGTCCTCTCGGTTACTCTAATAGATTCTTATAAATTTCTGGCTATATTCAATATTTAGATAAAATGGTAAAGGCTTCTTTCTTATAGATATAAATTTAAGGTTTCATTTGGTTTTTCTTGGTTTATTGGAGAAAGGAATGAATAATTTTTATATTTTAAGATAAAGAGAGACATTTGTTAGATAGTGTATGCCCTTAGCTCCAATCTGATTGATGTATAGATACATTTATTGTAAATGAATAAAAGTACGTTATTGTTTCATATTGATATTGGTATGTTTTTGTGAAATTACCCCTTAATCTGGATACTTATGAGACTCGTGTTAGTTTAGAATGTTCTCAATTTTTGGAGAGACTCCCAAGTCTTACACTGATGTGTTGCCAAAGAAGTTGGGGTAGCTTGTCTCACTTACTAGGGTTAGACCCAAAGCACATGCAATGTGTGTTTAATTGAAACATTGAACCCATACCATTTTGTAGTTATACCCTGGACCTTGGAGATTGATGGGCAAAACTGAAAAGTTACACATAATCCCTAGACTTGATTATGGTGGGTTGTCTTTGATATGCCAATCAGTAAGATCCATTGAGGGTCAAAGTCTGGGTATGTTAGGGCAGTTTGAGAATTTATCTGAGTGGGTGATCATAGTGATAGGATCAGCCCCTTTGTAGGACAAAGTGAATAATAGGGCTTACACTTTCTTTGATGAAAACCTAAACTACCGGTAGTGGAATTCAACTGTATTTGAGATTTGTTTTTTGAAATATATATATATATATATATATATATATATATATATATAATGTTTTATGAAAAATGTTTGCAAAAGGTTATAATTCTCGAGATCCACCCGAGTAGAGAGTGACACTGTACCTTGCAGTCCGGGGAGAGGTCATTGTCAGGTAGTATATGATCATTGTGGGCCGAGAGGTTAAGTGTAAGAGACCATTAAAGGTTGATTACCTTATTGGCTTTATCTTACTTAAGTCCATTATCCTTGGGTCTTCATAGGATGACTGGATTTAAGGATTATTAAGTGTAAATGTTGGGCCCATATTGAGCCTATAGTGATGTGCTTAGGGGTTCATTGTGTTTAGTGAATTCGGCTAAGCTTTTTTACAAAGGCCGGGTTGAACCCATGTGAACTTATGTAAGGTCATTGTGGGGTCTCGCCTATACAAATTAGGCCTAAATTGGCCATGCAACACCCTTGGATCATGAGCTTTATAGCTGATGGGCCTTAGGCCCATAATTAATAAGATTAACTAAGTTGTCACATGACAACTTAAGTTTTAAATTTGGGTTTGGAAATGGGTATAGAGCACCCATCATCTTAAGATGATACAGCTTATCTCTTAATAGAGTCTAGATCCAAATTAGGTTTAGATAATATACTAATTTGATTAGGATAAGTGCTCCATAAAAAGATAAAAGAAGAAGAGGGCGAACTAGATTAGAACATCACTCTCTCTTGTTCTCTCTTCTTCTATTTTGTCTTCCAAGAAACCTTATCATGACTTAGGCTTTCAAGGACTAATAGAGATAAGTTTTCTTCTGATTTTTGCAAGAAAAATTCAGAGGAACTTCAGGCTCACTTTACCCAGATCGATCCAAGTAGTTGGATTGCAGTTTTGTTGAAACTGCACCATCTTTAGTGGAGGCTGGTTTTAGGATTGATTTGGCCGTGAATTTCCACCTTGGGATATGCACTTGTGGTGTTCGTATCAGGTATAAATCTCCCTCTTTGATTGGTTTCAAATCTTGTCCGGTTCAGTGCAAGATCGATCCTGAAAAATGCAATTTTTCAAAACATAGGGAATTCGATTCTCAGAAGAATTAAGAAATTTTTGAAATTTTGCCCAACCATCTAGCATGGTTCGGCCATCCATATGAAGGATCCTAACCCTTCTAACAATATTCATATAAGTGAAATGAAACAAAAATTTAAAGAAACTTGTTTTTCTATGTAAGTGAAATGATTCTTGTTATTTTAGTTGGTTTCTTTTGGAGAAAATGAAGGTATTTTGGGGTCAATTAGGGTTTAAGAGAAAAAGGCAATGAAAATATAAAACAAGTTCATGTGGGTATTATAGTAATTTAACACATTTTGTCATTTGATTTAGTAGACAGGGGCATTTGTTGCAAAGTGATATTGAAAATTCAAGGGGACTTTGTCATTAACCCCATAATACAAGGTCATTTTTGTAATTTACCCTTTTTTTGGTTAGCAACTAAGACCTTATTACAAACTACACTATTTGATTATAATGTATCAAGTGATAGTTGGGCCCAAAAGTTTAATAAGGTACTCTCTATGTCCTACAAACAAAGATTTCCAAAAAGACTAGGCCAATGTGACATGGGTTATGAAAGACAAAATCCATATGCCCTTAGCAGTACTAACTTGCATCCAATACCAAAGGCTGTTGGGAATGAACCCATTGCATTCTAACTCCACTAGCAACCTCATCTTCATTTTGGCACTAGACCAACCACCAGATATTATAGGCAAGCAAATGAGACAGTTCTACCAAGATCCAATTGGAATCGACCTCAAAACAAGCCTTGATAAGGCTGGTTCTATTAGGTTCTTAGGTATGGTTTGGTTTTAAATTCTTGAAATTAATCCCACCTAGGCTGGTTCAAAGGTATAGAGCTTTATCGTACTTGAACCAACCTAGAGAACTAGCCTTCCTGGAACCGGATTTATTCAACCTTGTTATTGAACTTGATTAGCCATTGGGCCACTTAAGTGAATTGATAAGTTTTCTTTAATATAATATATGAAGGTGTATAGTAAGTAGTGTAAAAATAGTAAATCAATAATGTTGTAGAACTTGTTATTGTTTATTTTAAAGACAAGATTCCATGGGTAGACCTAGCTGGAACCAACATTGAATCTACCAAGCCAAGAACTTATCCTAGAATCTAGACCAAAACCAACCACCAATCAAAAGTTTCCAAGTGGCAACAAGCCAAGGGAAACATCGTTAATTGACCTCACATCACCTTAGAAGGCCGAGAAAACCTAAGAGTATCTAACTTGGCGGGGCTTACCTAACCAAGCTCACTTAAGCTTGATTGACATGGCCAAACCAACCTAATAGAGCTTACCTAAGCCCAATTGACTTGGTCGAGCTGACCTGACTTGGCCAAGCCGACCTAGGACCAGCTCATGACATGTACATTTGGTAAGTCAAGGAAGCAATGCATGGACATGCATATCAATGCTACATGTGGTCAAGTGGATGAGAAGATTGACATCAGCACATTGAATGCAAGTCCCCATTGCCTAATGCCCATCACGTGTAGGGCATGACAAGTGGACTGAGCTCTGACCACGTACGAGTGATGTGCTCATTCTTGGATGAAGCTCCTCTCTTATATAAGGCGTGTCCCCTCATTTGTTTAAGGATATTACATTCGATACTACACACAAGACATACACCAGACACCTCAACGCACCGCACTTCGTATCACCTCACCTTATGTCGCATCTTATCGATCTCTTCAGTCCATTTTCTCTAGTTTTGAAATTATTGACTTGACTACCAAAGTCTACACCCCTAGGATATCACCTAGGGCCTTTAATGTAACTTTGTGAAGACTGTGTTTACAAGTGACAATCTATGTGCAAGGTGACACTTTGAGGGTGAGGTGACACCCTATTAGCCAAAGTCTCCAGAAAATTTTCAATGGAAAATGGAACAGAAAGCGCATTTTACTTATGCAACCAACTTGCTGATCTAAACCAACCTATAAACAATTGACCTCAAATAATCGACCTATTGTCTAGGGCCCACTGGGAACAACAGACCTGAACCAACCTAGAACTCCCTTGCAAAGCCAAAGTGTTGATGCAACAAAGTCATTAATTGGCCTCACATCACTTTAGAAGGTTGAGCAAATCTAAGAGTAGCTAACTTAGGGGGTGTGGATTGGCCCACACTACATTATGGCAGGGACCAATGCACACCACATCACAGTCAACAATTGTTTTGAACTATGGGTAGATTGTGTGGTAGGGATCAGTCCACACCACACCACACCACAATCCACACTAATGTCCAGTCCACACCTATAGTGGTGTTTTGTAGGCGTGGTGTGTGGACCAGTCTACACCACACTTTTTGATTCCATGTATCTCATATATAGTTTATGAAGTAATTTATACAACTAAACATAAATGTCTAGTTTTTATAATTTATGTGATAAATAAATTGGAAAAAAAGGCATTGGCAATGAATATATACTAAAAATATATTAATTTCAACAAAAATGGTAATGAAATCATTTAAAAATAAAAACTATTATTTTATTGATAAAAAATATTAAAAAATAATATTTAAACAAACAAAATATCAAATTATTGCAAGACAATCATAGCATCAGACTATTTATGCAAACTAATAATCCATTACTGAATCCCGTACTA